AATATTAGTGGTGTTGTAAGGAGTCTTGTTGAACAGCATTGTGTTCCTAACTAAGAAGTTATAGATGGAGTATATATAGAATTTCTGTTTAATTATGAAGATATAGTCATAAAATTAGCAGAATAAAGATGCAATTTTACTACAATAACTTCTTAAAATACTGTTTTAAGGGGGAAAACTTGTGCCACACCAACCTCAGTGTGTATCCACAGTTCCACTTCTGACCTGTGTGCTGTGCTTCCTCTGTGTTTAGCGGAGAAGCAGCAGCAGCAGAAGGAGGTGTGGAGTTCGCGGCTGCAGAAGTGGCTCTATGAACGGTTCGGGGTTTACATAGAAGACTTCCGCTTCCAGCCGGAGGAGAGCACTGTGGAGACGGAGGAGCCGCTAAGTGCTAAAAGGTGAGTCGGGTTTCCTCCAAAACGGAACCGGTGAATACAGAGAGGGACAACAGACTGGAGCTCTTTCAGATTTTATGGTTAAAACTTGTTGAACTGACTTTATATTTAAAATATTTAGTAGTGTTGTCCTGGTAGCTAGACAGCATCTTTAGATCAGCTTTTATTTTGCATGTAGGAAGTTGGAGGATTTATTTCTCTTCCTCTAATGAAGGAGTGTGAGTCATAGACTTATGAAGGCTACATTGAGGTCTGACCTCCTACTTGTTAAATTTTAATTTTCTTTTTTTGTGCACTTTCCTAACCTGTTTATTTCCTTCTTCTCCTTTCAGGTTGACAGAAAACATGAGGCGACTCAGTGAGTGCAAAAACAACACCCACACAAACCAAAAACAGAGATGGTGATGTAATGTCACCACAAAACACTATATTATATAAACTTGTATGAAATAATTCTAACCCATGTTTCGCATCTTTTTGTTGTTGTTTTTTTCAGAACGAGGAGCCAGACCTGTCACTAACTTCTTAAGGAACCTCTCCGCCTTATCTAACTGGCACTCTGTCTACACCTCAGCTATTGCCTTCATTGTGAGTGAAAGCTGCACATAAAACCGCTACATGTCATCTTGGTTTTTAGGATTTAAAAGGGAAAAGCATTGATCCCAGTTGGCGTCGGCTCATGAGGAAAAGCCGAAATGAGAGGCAGTGACTTCTGTTTATAGGTTTTAGTGACTCTGCCAAAGACTGCTGTGGTCTAATTAGATCTTCATTGATGTGCCAAATCGTCTTCAGCCACTTGTTCTGTGGTCTTGCAAAAGCATTTAAAACCTTCCAGGTTTTCCCTTGTTTTATCAAGTCAAAACCTTCAGTTTCAGCATTTTTAGGATGGAAAACACAAAAACAAATTTACCAAGTAGAGATAAAGAAGGATAAATGTCTTATTAGTAATTGAGCAACTTCTGAAATTTATTTTTTTGGATTTCATGCAGGGCTTCATGGCTGCTGGTGCTAACTAAATGTTTCTTTCTCTCCTTTAGATCTACATGAATGCTGCTTGGCATGGTTGGGCCATTCCCATGTTCCTCTTCCTGGCCATCCTGCGCTTGTCTTTGAATTACCTCATTGCCAGGTGCTTTATTTTATTTTATTTTATTTTTTGCATTAAAGCAGATTAAATGTTAAACAAGGTAGGTGTTGGTTAAATTGGTTTTTTTTTTGTTTCCGTCAGAGGGTGGAGGATTCAGTGGAGCATTGTGCCTGAAGTGTCTGAACCCATGGTAGGAGAACGACAAAGACTTCTAGATCAGAAGAAAATGCACTTTAGTTTAATTTACTAATTTACCTTCATATTTTTAGGAGCCCCCAAAGGAAGACCTAACTGTATCTGAAAAGTTTCAGCTTGTACTCGATGTTGCACAAAAAGCTCAGGTAGGATGTTTTTTATTTGAAAACAAAATCAATCTTAAAATAAATAAAAAAATGGAGGAAAAATGTGATGGTTTTTGGTGTTTTCTCTCCACAGAACATCTTCGGTAAGATGGCCGACGTTCTGGAGAAGATAAAGAAGTGAGTCTTCCACCTGAAACCTCATCCTGCCCCGCATGCCGTGAAACTCCGACTTATTCTGTGTGCATTTCTTTCTTGTGTGTGTTGCAGTCTGTTCATGTGGGTGCAGCCAGACAGCACCAGGAAGCTCTACATCTGCCTGTGGGTTGCTTTCATCTTCTCCTGCGTCCTCCCGTACAAGCTGATGGGTTTTATGATGGGTGAGACACACACACACACAGACTTCCCCTTTTTTATTTATCTTTCATCCAGCTGACATTCTCTAAATATTGCCGAAGGACCTCGAATAAATGGAGCTCTTCTTTCTTCATTCATTGCACACAAACAAATGCATTCATACAGTAGCTGTGTAACCTTCCTCTGCCCTGCCTGTGAGTGGCAGCTGGTTGCTTATCTGATCTGTTTGTAAATGGTTTTGGAAAGTATGGGACGAAACTGACCAGTTATCTCAGCCTTTTATCTCTCCAGGTTCAGTGCTTAAAGCTGGATACTTGTAGAAATATATTGAAATTTGACTAAAAAAGGACAGAATTCTTGACATGTTGGTGAAGGAAACATGAAACCTTTGATGAAAAATCATGTAGGAACTTTAGTTCCAAAGGAACTTAATTAGCAACGTCATGAAGGAAAACTCTTGTGGTTTTGAAATCGTAACTTGGGCTGGGCGATAAATCTGCTTTATCGTTTAATCAAATTTTATGTTTTTGAATATTCAGTTTTTGGGGTAAAATCTGGACTTTACCCCCCTAAACAAAGCATTCTTTGGATTCTCATAGTTCAGAGTGAGATTAGCCGCAATCTTGTTTTGTGTTTTACAATTTCTTTTCATTTGGCTTGAAATTCAGGTCAGCTCTACAACAGAATATTATAGTCAGACTTGGATGAGTATTCTTATTTTTTTAATAAGGACAATAGAATACGGCTGTAATATTTAGTTGTATGGGAATTCCAACGAAAACAGTTACATTGGGAGAGTTGCGTATCTGGTGAAGTTATTTGTTGGTACAAGTTGTACAGATAATCTTTTAGCACATCAGAATCTAATTATTATTAGCAGGAGGACCTTGAAGCAATGAAGCAAACAACTGTCTATTTTGAAGTAAGAACTACATGAACTGCTGACATCACATCCTGATCACTATCGTAGTTTTTTTTCCATTACAATTATTTTTTTCTCTTAACTTTAAGATATTTTTTTCTGGTAGGATTGCGTTTTTAATCTAATATTAATACTACATTCTCATAATTGGTCTCTAATACTCTGTCGTACAACAGAAATTGAAATAAAAGCCACGTTTTTGAAAATACTTTCTGCCATTTGTCATTTTATTTTTTAGAAAAAACTAGAAATAAATTCAATTTGAAATGGAATTTAGTATTTTTTTTTGTATTAATTGAAATGACAACAAACTGACTGGATAACTTGGAGTGTTAACCTTTGTCCATTTCCGTGTCTCCTCCCCACAGGAGTGTATGCCGGTATCAAGTTCTTCATCATAGACTTCCTGTTTAAGAGCTGTCCGAAGCTTCGGGACAAGTACGACACGCCATACATCGTGTGGAACAGCCTCCCCACAGATCCCCAGCTCAAAGAGCGGACCAACGCCACTGTGTCCCGGCGGGTAAGTGGGTCTAAACGCCTCCCTTGTTTTTTATTTTTTTCCCTCTCAGTTCTTTCCTAAACAGGTTAGACTTGAAAGCTCTGAACACCTCCACACCCCCCACTACCACGTAGAGGAGTGAAAAACAAACGAAGATCAAAAAGCCTCCAAATATCAGCACTCTTAATAAATCATCACAAGCCCCACTCACTTCCTGTTCTGTCTGTGTGGTTACGTAAAGGTGTGTGAGCATGCGTGGCTTCGGTCTCAGGTACATTCTGTTGTTTCTCTCTCTCAGCTCTCCTGCATTGAGAAGGTAGGGTGCTCTGGTGTGTGCTCTTTCCCTCCCACTCCCCATCCTTTGGTTCCCCACCCCCCTCACTCCTCTGTGCCTGTGGGTGTGCCATAAGCTCACCTCAAAGCGTGTGTGTGTGTGTGTGTGAGATGCGTGACACCTCGGGATCCCACCCGACAGTGACTGTGAATGGAATGGATCAAAAATGTCAGAAAATATTTGAGAAATTAAGATTTAAAAAAAAAGTTGTATTTTATTTTTTAACGACTTGGTTCTCCATGAACCACCAACATTTCTGACATTTCTGATCCACTGGCAAGATGCTCAATAAGAAGTAGTGTTATAGAGTAATCAAGATGCACATAGAACAGTTTTTGTTTCTTTTATATTATTATTCTACTTTATAAAGCCCCCTTTTTTTTATTTTTATTTTTTACCTTAGCAAACACTAATAAACCCAGAATTATAAATGCTGGTAGTTTTATGTGGCAGTTGTATGTAGAGCAGCTGGAACTATAAAGCACTCAGGATCCATTTCTAGTGTGAAGGTTGGCATTATTACACGCGGTGCCTTGCAAAAGTATACACACAACTTGAGCCTTTTCACATTTATTCAGCTTATCGATCTACAGCATCATTGTGGATGGAAAATAACACAGATTTTAAAAATCTAAGAAGTGTGGTGTGCATTTGCTTTTATTCTAAACGCTAATTCCCATAATTCAGAGTATAAATGATCAGTTGAGAAGTGTAAAGTATGTTTAAGCTTTAAAACCATGACTTTAATCACCTGGAAATAGAGCATGTTGGCTATTAAGCAATTAATCTGTTGTTCTTTTTAATGGAGTCACTTCTTAGTTGCAAAATTTGTGCTTTTTTTCTAAGGCATTCCCTTGAAAAAATGTTCAAGTTTGATTTTCTGTACTTTAAAATTTAAAGACAAAAATATATAAATATATTTTCTCATAAAAAAAAATTATAATAAAATCCCATAGCAGACCATGTGAAAATTAGCTAATTTCCTTCATGTAGCTTTTGTGGCTCTAAGCAAATTTCAATGAACTGGACCAAAGACACAAATGGCTCTCAGGGCTGTAAACATGGCGCTAGAACTGCAATGCAACAGTTTTGAACAAATCATATTCAGTAGTTATGATGGCCTAGTCAAAGTCCAATTAAAAATGTGCAGTAAGACTTGGAACCTTTTGCTCCCCATCTGCAAAGAATGCTTCTCTCACTTTTCATATTATTGTTTATCAGGTTTGAGAAGCTACGTTTCATTTTCCTTCCACTTTCCAATTATGCACTGCATTGTGTTGGTCAATTACATAATGAAATGCAATAAAATGCATTTAGAATGTGAAAAGGTTTGAAATGTGTGAGTGCTGGAGGAAGACGCTGCTGACTAACCAGTGTCATTTTGGTTTGTGCTCATACAGAGGCTGATTGAATGGCAGCCTCCCTCTCTGCTTTGCACGTTACACCTGAGCCTGACGCAATGAAGTGCACATGCAGAGCCGCGCATTGTTCAGTACTAACAACCAAAGATGATTTATGGAGGATGTTTCAGTCACGTGACCTGTTTCTCCCTCTTTTATCCCCCTTTCCTCTTCTTTTCACCTCTTTGTCTTCCCCCCTCATTCTGTTTCATTTTCTTTTGTTGCTGTTGTTGACTATCTCATTATTGTCATCTTTTCTTTGGGGTTTCTTTTTTGTTTGTTCTTCCTCCCGTTTCTTCCTACCTCTCCTCGTCCCCCTGCCTGCACCAGGTTCAGCCGGTGGCGTCTCGGAGCAGCCTCGCCACCGTCCCCAGCGGCATGAGCAGAGAAGACGACGCGGGTCGCTCCCACAGCACCAAAAAGGGTCCCTTCCACGAGATCTTCAACCTGCCGGAAACAGAGCGCCCTCTGGCGGGTGAGGAAACTTACTACAACCACTGTAAACACTCAACTGAGGTTGTCGAAGGCTGCAAACTGAATCGGAGGTTTTTCTTTATTTTTTTTCTGTCTTAGTGTGCGAGAACGGCTGGAGGTGTTGTCTGATAAACAGAGATAGGAAGATGCCCACGGACTACATCAGGAATGGAGTTCTTTACGTCACAGAGAAGTAAGCTTAACCCTCGTCGCTTGTGTTGAGGAACTCGCCACTGAAGAAATTATAAAGAACAGTTTTGACTGACATTACTCCCTCCCTCCCTTTTTGTCCGTCAGTTATCTTTGCTTCGAGAGCTCCAGCTCCAAATCCAGCGCCTCCAAGAAGAATAAAGTGATCAAGCTAGTGGACATCACAGACATCCAGAAGGTATTCTCGCTTTTCCACCTTCCTGTAGGCCAGAAAATATTTTCCAGAATATAAAAGGTTGAACACTTTCTAAGATCCATGTTGTTTGACTTTAATGAATTTCCTAAACTAATAACATTTAATTTTATCCCCCTTTAGTACAAAGTGCTATCGGTCCTGCCGGGAAGCGGCATGGGCATCTCTATAGCCACTCCCTCCACTCAGAAGGTGAGCGCTTCGCTACTTTAGAGACCGTTCCTAAACACACGCTCGTGATGGCCTCTGGTCTCATACTCCATGGCTAAGTGTGTATTACACTGGAAACTGCTTGAAATAGAGATGTACAGGTCAAGTTTATTATGAAACAAACATTACATTTTGTCAAACGGCATCATCAAATTCATCAAGCAAATACACATCAAATATGTTGATAAATGTTTGACTTACTACTAACCAAAGGTAAATCTAAGCAGATGGGTTTTTAGTCCAACTTTAAAGGAACTCTGTCTTCCAGCAGTTTTACAGTTTTTTTGGAAATTTGTTCTAGATCTTTGGAGCATGATGACAACTGAATACTGCTTCTCCATGTTGGGCCCGGGTGTCCTGGAAGGTTGATACAACAGCAGCAGATTTTTAATGTATTTTGGTGTTAATGTGAGTGTTTGCAGGTTGATTGTAAAATAGTTGTCTAAAATATTTTCTTTGAGCTGAGTTCTGCTTTAGGTTTCCTGGCACAGACTACCAGATTGCTGTTCATCCTGATATTTTAAGGAGTTTGATGCCATGTGCTCAAAACATTCTAGGGCCTTAGTAAGATCCACTATACTTGAAGACTGGATTCTTTAAAGGGACATTGTAATCAGTTGTAATCATTGTAATCAGAGATTTGTTTTCTGAAAGCTACAGTTATCCTTGCAATGATAGACGCTAACAAGCTAGTCAGACATGCACTAAAGTAACAGAACATGTTACTAAAAATCTCAACTTCAGTTTCATTTCAGGTCATTTTAGTTCTCAGTGATATTTAGCAAATGTGATATGCTTATCTTGGCCCAAGATAACATTGTTTGCTGTAGTTATCCCACATTGAGCTTTTGAGGCAGGTTTTACCTCCCTTCACTCTGTGTAGAGGGGGAAAAACAAACTTTGCTCTTCATCCAACCTTTTCTATGCAAGTCGTTTTTAAACTTTTTAATTATTGCTCTGACTGTAAGCTTGAGCAAGTATGTAGTATCAAGTTAAGGGCTTTGTTCCAATCATTCAGAGAAGAGTTTATTGCATTGTACCTAAATGTTACAAAAACATGGGGCAGATTTCAAAGGTTTCCAGAGTTATGCCACTTGGAACGAAAGTGGAAGCAACCAGTGGCCCAGGCGGCCCAGCACCTTGGACTGACTGCAAAACACCTGCAGCAAAAGTCGATTTCCAAAGTAGACCCAGAAGAGCTCCATGATTCCAGCAAATAAACCACAGCTGATCCAAAACCACAAGAAGCTCAAAAATGGATGTTATCAGATCTATGGACGCCTGTGGCATGGCAGTGAAACCTGCAGAGTGGTACAAGATGGAAAGAGACGACAGACATATCTCAATGTCCAGCAAGGCTTGGAAGAAATCTGAGAAGAAATGATGGACTCAGACCTGAACCTTCAGAGACACATAAAGACAATTACAAAGTCAACCTTCTGTCATCTGAATATTTCCAGGATTAAAGGACTAATATTTCAACAAAGTCTAGAGAAACTGATCAATGTGTTTATCTTTAGTTGCTTGGTTACTGTCACAGTTGGTTTATAAATCACTGAACAACGTGGCACCAAAGTACATTAAAAACCGGTTGTCGCATCAACCTTCTGGTTCGAGCCTCCTCTGCATCCTTATAACCAGAACCAAACATGGAGAAGCAGCATTTGGTTTCTATTCTCCTCTAATGTGCAACGAACCTCCAGAAAACTGCAAAACAGAGTTCCTTTAAATCATCAACAATTGTGTGAAGAAGGCAATTAAACCTAAAAATATCAATGCACTTTGGCCATGAGGGTTGGGCTCATATTGCTCATATTACAGCTCATATTGCTGGTCTGCTGTGTACGATGTTCAGCTACCACATAATGGTTGTGTTTAGCGATTAATACTGTTAGCTTACTTGTTGCAAACAGAAGGCTTCCTATTTTCCCAATAAACCCGACTCACAGTTTGGCCTCTAAGTTTTAAGATGAAGGAAGCGAATTTGAGCCCAAGTATCAAGGCGTACTTCTAACAGCTTGTGTCTTCTGCAGCCGCTGGTGTTTGGCGCCATGATCCACAGAGACGAGGCGTTCGAGACCATCTTCACTCAGTACATAAAGATTGTGACCACCTCCAAACCACCGTCCAGCACAGAGCTTTAGGCCCTTCCTCACTTCCACTCCTCGTCGATGTTGAGGAGCTTCTGATTCCCTCAAACTCCTCCGGCTCCCTGGACGAGCGCCAGCTTCTTGTTGGAGGCACCTAGGGGACACTGCTCATCCTGAAGGGGGCGCTAAAGGAGGAGTCGTTTTAACCAATCAGCAGAGGGCTGATGGAGGAGCTGGATCTCCTCTTCCAACTGACTTTTTTTTCTGGCTTTCTTGGTTCTGGTGTTGCATGTGTGGGTGTGCGTGTTATTGTGCGTCAGTTGTTTTTTCTTGTGTTTTTTTTTCTCTGCCACTCCCCAGTCAACGGGGCGCCGTCTGCTGCAATAGGAAGCTCTCTCTAGCAGATAACAGAACCTACTTTAAACTGCCAGATGCAGAAGTTCTTGCTGTATATCAAAGTATTCATGTCAAACCGGTGCCTCTTGGCTAAAACCCAACAGAACCAGAGGTGTGAACATGTCCGACTGTTTCTGTTTTTCTGTTTTCTTCTGTGTTTTATTAGCTGTGAAGACGTCAGCCTGCGACTGACACCAGAGCCTTTCTGTTAGTTTACATCGCCGATTTCGGGTGTTAAACGCGTTTCTTCGGCGGCGCCGTCCGGCTTACGAACTGACAAAATGTCTCGGCCTCCACTTCCGTGTTTTTGTAAGTGTGCAGACGTGAAATGTGTCCTGATTTTTTTTTTTTTTTTTTTTTTTTTTTTTTTTTTGGCCCCCTTTTTTTTTGGGTTTTTTTTTTTTTTTTTTTTAAAAAAAACCTTTTTTTTTTTTTTTTT